TCTAGAAGAATCGAGAAATTTTTGTTTCGATTCTGGGAAGTATTTAAAGAAATATATTGTCTGTTCTAGGGTGTTTTCGATTTTTACAACTTTGTAGAGTTTTCATCAATTCCCTATTGTCAATTCTATCGACTTCGAAGAGACATGTTGTTCTCTTTATGTTCCTCGTATTTGGAATCTAAGTTTTCTTCCTACCATTGTGATTTGCAGCATTTAAGCCAATCTTCTTTATTAAAGAGCTCTACGTTTTCTGCGTGTTTTCCTTTTTTTAAATTTAGTATTTTATTTGCCTGGTGACCGTGTACGTGATTTTCAATATTTGAGACGTACCTTTCCCAGCTCTCCTTGTGTGCAGCTTTAACTAGTACCTTACTTTCCTTCCACTGAGCTCCGTATTCTTGCAGCTGGTTGATTGGTTGGTTGTTAGTGATTCCGGGAGCGTCAACAACTAAGATCGTTAGTCCCCTAAGTGTAGTGCTTTTTGTCTCGGAAGGTAGCGGTGATCTTCCCCCGCTGGATGGCGACACACGGCGCCTCCCAACCGTCGGATAGTGGGGTTCCCTCAACCACGTAACTCCCACCAACGGGACACAGCCACAGCCGGGACAAGCTCTAAGCTCCCGTCCGGTCTCCCGGCGTGTGGTAGTCTAGTGCATGTTAGTATGTGTGTATAAGTGGAGATGAGGATAGGACAAGGAAGAGGAAGGAAAGTCGCGGGTGGTCCGTGGCCCATTTGTTAAGGCCCATTCACAATGCAAACATAAGCATAAGCATGGCGTTAACATAAAATTTTGGACAACGTTCATAAGCGGACTCATTCACAATGCGTTCGCATAAGCATAACACTAAGACGTTAAGTTAAAAGCTTGCAAGCTTTAAGCTTCTGCGCGTATGCTTAAGTAAGACATAAGAAAAGAACCAATCACAATAAGTTAACTCAAAATCGAGAATCAAACTGGGATCAAAATCAATAGACGAACTAACGCCATATGGGCCATGGACACAGTCGATACCTCGAAATTGATTCTCACATCCAACCAATAGTAATTAGAATGTCTCACAGCCAATAGAAACTTATTTTGCTTACGTTAATGTTAGACATTGTGAATACTCCAGTCTATCACTTATGTTAATGTTTTCATCTATGAGTTATGTTTATGTCTACATTTGCATTGTGAATGGGCCTTTAGGGTTCTTCTCCGACATTTGCCTGGCGTTGATAGGTTAAATCACGGAAAACTACCGATCAGAGCAGCCGGCCGCTAGAATCCTCCTACAGACAGCGACTGAATTCGGCTTAACAACCGGCCTAGCTAGAGTAGAGGGACTCGAACGTAGGACCTCCCAGTCAGAGGCACTGCAGTGACATCAGTTGATGCCCTGAGCCACCTCTCCCGTAAATTCTGCCTAGATATTTGTAAGTTTTACCTGGTTCAAGATCTTGAATCACACCTTGCAAATCAACTTCAATGCTCTCTGACATCACTTTGTCTCTCTTTAAATTGATTTTTGCACACTTGTCAAGACCAAACTTCATGCCTATGTCATTGCTATATCATTGATGACAGCATTTGGCAGAGAATCATTTCATTCTTAGCAAACACTCCACCAACAAACCATCCAAATAATCCATGTAAAAGAAATGTGATACTGGTCTTTGATCCCCGTGGAATCTGTAACCAATGTCAGTGTGCGACAACTGTCGAAATAGTGGCATCAAACTGATAGAACAAGCAGAGGGGATAGAGAATATCCTTGAAAAATGCCCCTGTTAATCTGAATACTTGTTTCTACTGCTTCCTTTCCGCTGTGTATTAGTAACCTGGTACTTCACGACTTCTTATTAGCCATACAGAACTAAATAAGCCTGGGATGGAATCGATAGATCTCCTGGGGTTTCAAAATCCAGTCGTGTAGTACATTGTCGAAGGTCTTCTGGTGGTCAATCCAAGCCATGCTTAAATTACGTTTTCGTTTCTTTGCATCACTGAAGATCTTTATTTAGTAGTACGATTTCCCTACAGCCATAGGAACCTTTTGGACATCTTTTCTATTATTATTACATCTTTTATTATTATTTATTACATCTATTATACATTATTTATTATTTATTATATATTTTCTATTATTGTTATTATTATTATGATTATTGTTACAATTCTCGTCTTCCATGGTCTAATCACGGTGGAGTGAATGCGTATTGCAAATTTCGTTTGTTCACTATAAGGGCCCCTTCCTACGGCGCGGCCGCGGCGCGCTTCGCAGCAGCGCGGCGCGTAGCAGAGCATTGGTTTGAATGGAGGCCTTCCCACGTGCGGCGGGTGGCAGCTACTGCGGCACCAGCGACGACTCCAGCTAAGCGGAGGAGGGGCCACGCGCCACCGCTAGCAGAACACAGCTTTAAATGGGAGCGTTCCCACTGCGTCGCGGCCGCAGCGTTCTACCCAACGAGTTAGAGATATATAGAGTGGCAATCAACGAGTTAGAGAGTGGCAATAGCACCGCCATCTTTGAAACAGTAGAGCCACTGTCCGCCATGTTTAAAGGTGTCAACCTTTGCGCGGGATTTCAAATTTTCTTCGCATGCAATGCACTGAAATGAATACAATCTTGCACCGTACATTTATTGAAATTAAAATAATTTATTTAATTATTTAAATTATATTCATTTTCAAAATTAAATGTAAACAAAATTGAATTTATATATCAATTAGGATAAAATATAGTTATATCAGACTAAAGAGGTTCATTACTCTATGGTTATACACATAAGTGAAAAAAGTGAACATTCATTAATTTAATTTCTCTATTTTTTGGTGAAATATTTTTGGTTTCTACTTGATTGAAGGAATTTTCTCTGTAGCAATTAACACACCGGAAACTACTATTCTCATTGAAATAAAAATTGGTATGGGGGTAATATTTATACGGAAAGGTTTCACAAAAAATTGCAGGACATTAATAAAAATAAGTCTAATAAGGGAATACATAATAGTAAATAAGGTGAGTATGTTCAGAATGAAAATACACAAGTTCTTCATTAGTTTACATAAGGATAGTTTTATTGACTTTAAAATAAAATTAATTTTGTAAACATCTGTCTCACATTCTTCCCTTTTATCTCTGCAGATTTCTTTTTAAAAACATAGTGAATTCGGCATGTAAAATAATGCTTCAAAATTAATTTTACAAGAGATGCAATATGAGAGATTTCATCTGCACCCGTAGCTGTAAACATATTTTCACAATCAAATAATGAACATTCCAATGACATTGGCATCACTTCAGTATGAAATTTTAGCACTCTTCTTATGATTTCTTACTAAAATTACCTCATTTCTTCTAAAAAATTGTCCAGAAATCTTACAGAGTTTTATCACTCCCTGTGCAGGATTCACAAGGGAATTATTGACATCTTTCAATGCAATTAATTCTGATTTGCTTTCCCTATTGTTTTGAAACAGAGCATCCAAACATTCAGCACATTTAATTCTTTGTTGAAATTCCATACACAATACTCCCTGCAATGTATTCGACAACATTTTCAACAAAGACTATCTAATACCCTGGATTGCAATAGTCATAGTCATCTACTTCTATGCAAGTGCCTACATTTTCAAACGTCTGACCCTCCTCAGTAAGCATTTCACTATCAAAAATGTGCTATTGCCATTCTCAGATGACATGACCGGTGCAATTAAATATTTCCTATACGCCGCATGGAATTGCACAGCATTGGGATTAGTTTTGTGACCACCTCTTGTTCGTAAAGGACTAAAAAATAATTCCAAATGGTCTTGGCTAAGCCTGCGAGTTAATAGGTATTTAAGCTTCCCAAATATAATTTCCTTCAATACCTTTAATGGTTAACAGGTCATTGACAAATCCATACAAGGGTATCTTTCTGGCTGATCTCCACACAGATGAGCCATCAGCAAAGTTTAAATTTTTGAAGTAAACAATGCACACATCAATTTGACTGTACACTGCATATTTGTTTCTCTTAGAAATGGAAGCATTTGTCCTTTTACCCATTGGATGACAACTATTTAATAAGTCAAATATTAAATCATTTGTTTTTACGAACTTCACTGTACTTTCACAACACTGAAATTCATTCATCCCAATATTTTTGGAAAACAACATTGCTTTAGCCACTGACAGACTGAGCGTCTGAGCTGCTTAACCACCTTTCTTTTTCTGTGTTTCGTACAGTAAATGCTGTCTTCATAATTTATTTGCAGCATGCAACCCTTCATTTTCTTGAACATTTGTTAGTTTTCAAAATACTCTCACTTAACTTCATTGAAATTTCCTGCAGTACCATCAATATGAATTTTATCTCCGTTAGAGGATTACGGGTTAACTTCAGCATATGAGCAGCATCAAAAAACAGAAGCGTTGAGTTTTAACCTGTGGCTTTGTACTCGAGAACAATTAAGCAACTAAACACACCGAAGAAAGGTAATTCAGTAGAGTTGATTAATTCAGTTCAAAACACTCTGACACCTTAAAACATGGCCGCCATATTTCACGAATATCACGCTAGGAGCGCTGAAATATAGCTGTTTGCCTCTCTATGTATCTCTAACTCGTTGGTTCTACCTACTCCGGTCCCTTTGTTCGTCGTCGCCGGAGGGTCGGCGAAACCTACCCCTCCGGACCCCACCCCCTTCCACGGCGGGCGGCGGTGCGGCGGTGGCTGCGGCGGTGGCTGCGGCTCTGCTCCTTGAAGGAAGCGCGCTGCGGTCGCGCCGTGGGAAGCCGGCCTAAGAGATGTCACAACGTTTGGTGGGAAAGTGTTGTGTGGACATTCTGCTCTGTTGTGTGAGTCCTAGAGAATTACTAAGTTTTTGGCTGCATTGTGCAGTTGCCGAGGTGGGTGTATCTAATCACATTTATTATTTACAATCATATTTGCTTTCTTTTGGTTTATTTATGTTCTGGTTGCGAATTTTGTCGACAAATTTGATTTAAAAAAGCACTTTTATCAACACACATCGAGTCGCTTCCTTTCTATTTTGAAAACGATTTAAAGTAAATATTATCATGACCATAACGATAATGCTAAGGTGCTTCTTTATAATAAAATGAAATGTATGAAACATTTGGTTCCACGTGCCCTTTCATCGGTTATGAAAAGTGCCAACGAATTTTGGATCCCTGTGCCATTAGCGTAGAAGTGACTCCTTCCATATATTTCTATAAAATTCTGGCTTTTTAAATACTTGTTTTAGATATTTGTATTAATTATTATCATTGAGAGAAATATTACATACATTAAACTTTAATAATCGTTTGAAAAATCCAGAATGTTCATAAACACAGTCCCAAAATGTTCGTAATTTTTTACGGAGGGGAGGAACTTTCAATTATTAATTAACCAGAATTTAATGATTTAACTATTAATTTTTAAATGAATTTATTACAAGAAATATATTCAAGTCACATGCTTATAATATTATTTTTAGCTCCTATAATTTTAATGTTAACATTTTTTATGAACATTATTTTCAGTATCTTTTGCGTAGCAAGTTTTAATGAACATTTGATGCCATTTCTTGCAATACAATTAGGACATGAATTGATAGCCCTGATGTCAGAAGAAAGCAGTTGATTTGTCGACTTACGTAATATTTGGGCTTAGCTTTTAGACAAATAAAGCCTTGAAGACAATGGCTCATCTTTTACATAAATAGTCTTCAAGTTTCACAAAATGTTGCTGGCTCATACATAGTATGATGCTGTGTTTGTACAACACGTTTAAGCAATGCAAGTAAATGACAACTCATTTATTGAGATTTATGTCCTTTAGTGGGTTGTTTAAATTATTACAAAAATGTGGAAAATCTACATACGTTTTCACGTGAAACATCTGAGAATAACAGGAAAATGTTTAGACGTGTGAATTGCGAATTACGAAGATGGGAGAAACCTGTACTATTGACTTGAAATAACCATTAACTTTTCATGCTTCGAAGCAGCCATCTACTTTTGTCCTCTTTGTTCCGAGGGTAGTATAATTTTACATTCCTGATTTGGGGAAAAGTAGGACATCTAAAAAAGCTTACTATATCTCTCCTGGCCCCTTTTTCCCCATTCCTTTATCGGACACAATTTAGTTATCGTGAAAATACAATTTATTTTAGAAAAATAACATCTCTTGACGTGTGTTGATAAAATAGGCGCTTTTTTTAAATCCCATTGTCGACGAAATTCGCAGTCAGAACATAAGTTAACCGAAAGAAAACAAATATAATTGTAAATAACAAATGTGATAAGACATTCGCACCTCGGTAACCTCATAATACTGTCAGAATCTAATTCTACTAATTCTGTAAGAATCGCTCACGCGCACAGCAGAGGTTACCACCCAACACTTTCCCGCCAAACGGTATGACGTCATTCTATACATATTTACTCTGCACAAATTTGTCCTTCGAAGAGAAATTTTGAACAAACCAGGGTTTTTATGTTTAGTAAGATGTCGACACTGTCACTATCCCATCATGCCATATTTTGCGCACACGAGAAGAAAACGAAACTAAACTAAACACACATGACACACATGTTGTCCACCAGCTGCAACAGTTAGAATGTGCTGAATTAAAGATCCGCTGGAAATGCAACAAATAGGAGGGTATTTCACGGACTTAATTCATGAAAACAAATAGGATCTAGAAAGAGAAAAGTGTGGATACGTAACCTATGCTTTCCGTGAGTGCTGTACTATAAGTGTAAGGCACTAATGTGTATTGTATAATACACACCGATAAATTGTTTCTTGTTAAAGTTAAATATTGCTCACGTCAGCGAAGTGTCAATGTTACCAGTTTAACCGAGTATGACTATGATTGTGCGCAAAACTAATTGCTGTCAACTGCCGTAATTGCGTGTGCCCACGTGTACAACATAACCTTGGAAAAAGGACAGAAGACGACAAATTGCTAATTATATTATTGTGTAGGACTATTATAATTCTAGAATGAATTCCGAAAACGGCGTAGAAGAAAGTATGTCGGAAGAGGAGAATTCTGAGGAAATGGATGTGAATGAAGAAGAAGAAGAAAATGAAAACGATAAAGATGTTAAAAAGCCGAAAAAGGTGTATCTGCCAGGTGATCCCCTGGCAGAAAATGAGGTGCTGGAGTGTGATAAATCTGCGTATGAAATGTTGCACTCGGCACAAACTGGTGAGTAAATTCTACATTTTTCCTAATTATTTTTTTATGATGAATTCAACATGCATGTTATGTTCATAGGTGTCCCGTGTTTAAGTTTTGATATTATCCAAAATCCTTGGCATCCACCATCTGGCGATTTTCCAATTACTGCATATTTAGTTGCTGGTACACAAGCTCCTGAAACACATGCAAACTCCATTATTGTAATGCAGGTGAGCATGACACAAGTGGATATTGATATCTCTTTTGAAGTAATTATTTAGAATTTTTTCAATTTGGATTGCAGTGCTAAAGTATTAAAGGTATCATATTTATTAGATTATGATCAATTATTAGAGTATATCCTATGCTATACTCTACAGGATCTATTATTTTCAACTGGATTTACATTTTGAATCTGTCTAGTTCTGTTTGAAAGAGAAAATATTACTTTAATTAATTATAGATTTTTTGTAGATGAGTAATATGCATAAAATGGAAGATGATGAGGACTCGGAAGAAAGTTCTGATAGTGAGGATGAAGAAGATTCTAAAAGTCCCAGACTCAAGAGTACGTTTATAAATCATCTGGGATGTATTAATAGAGTTCGTGTAAGTAACATTAATTAATAAAAACATTTAATAAGTAATGCTCAAAGTATGTAATCTACCAAAAATCATTCTATTTGATTTTATTGAATTCCAACAATCCTGTGTAAAAAATTCTTAAACTATGACAGGAAGCATATATGCCTTAAAATTATTGAAATCTAGAAATAAAACATTTCATTACGCATTTCTTTCACTGTACTATGTAAATTAAGTACCAAAAGTATTAAAATACATTTTATTGAAATCTACATCAAATACTTCACATACATCAAATGTACTCTTTCTCTCTCTCTCATACATACACCAAAGAAAAATTGGCATTTACAGGATCAGAAAATTTTCCAGAAATATAATTGGCTGTCATTCAGATAAGACAAGAGCCTATGATATGCCTGTTCCTGTGAATGCTAATAGCCACTCAACATAAAGGAGGGCAAGGTGGCTCATATCAGTTTCAGACTATGCCCTTTTTTTTAAATGGATACGATTGCAAGTGTTTCACAGTCCATATCTACCAGTTAAGGGTTAAATCAGGGTTAGTGATGTGATTTGCATTCATTGTGTTTTGACTGTCATATGTTTATTCAACAAACTTCAAATTCATCCATCTAGATAACTATGGAAAAGACACAATGTTTACATACAAAGTAGCATTAGTAGAAAGAGTACAATTTATCACCTGCACATGTATGGCCAATTTGACATACTTTGCTTGCATGACACCTAAATTATGGTGTTGCACAAATGTTTGAGAGTTGGGGTACCCGATTTAGTTAGGATCTTATTATAAATTTTAGGATGTTATATGTGTTAACTTCTCTTAAAATCAGAATGCCCCATTAAGTCAGTGCAATTATATTTTATGTAATTGTTACAAAAATAGTGTTGAATGTATTTTGGTAAACGTTTGCAATATTTTTTTTTTTTTAGTCTTTGGTCCATGATGAAGTCATATTGGCAGCATCTTGGTCTGAGTTAGGTCGAGTGATGCTCTGGGATATTACTGGTAACGTGAAAGCTACTGCATCTGGAACAAAAGAAGGGTTGGCATCTACACCATTATTCAGTTTCAAGGGTCATCAGTCAGAAGGGTATGGTTTGGATTGGAGTCCAACAAAAAAAGGTAAACAACTGTTCCTTGAATTAAGCAATTTGTTCTCACAAATTCATTCAAAAATAGGTAAAGTGAATGAATTACAGTATGGATAAGATTGGAATAGGTCTATTTCCAGTGGAAATCAGTGAGCTTCAAGATTCACTTCTGGCGTGCACATTTGGATTTCTCTTGTGAAAAACTTGGTACGAGGAACAAGGTGAACATTTTCCCCAGGATATTAAGGAGAAGGAAAAGAGATATCAGGGTCAATAGAACGTAGACATTATGCTCTACCAGGACACGTCACTGAGCAAACTTTAAGAGGAAGAGTAATACTCGCAGCTTCACAGAAAATAAAAATATATTACAAGACACTCAAATCATTTATTTTTTTTAAAAAAAAAATTATTAAATTCTTTGTATAATAAAAATTGTATGTATTATTTTCTAGAAAACTGTTTTATGTTTCACATACCCTTAATATAATGTAATGTTGATTAGCTAAAAAACTTCATAGCATGTTTAGAAAAAATGGTGCATGATGTGATAAAACTATATCGTCTTCCAAACACTCTTCTTTTAAGATTATTTAGCCCCTGGTGTTTTTTGCTTTCTTTATGGTGAAGTTCTTCCAAAATCCTGTGATTCTACTTTCATTCCCTATCACTTTCTTAAGCTACATGGTGTACCATTCTTCTTTGTGCTTGACGTTTGATTGTCATGTGATGATGCCAACAGTTTGGTCATATCAACATGTAATAGCAGCAACTTTTTCATTGTCATAATCTTCCCTTTGTTGCCACCATCACTGTATAAATAAAAGTGGTGGTGTCATACCCAAAGCATAGAGTATTTTTCCATGCTTTTGTGACTCTCCAAATCAAAATTTCACCTCATTGGAAATATCCAGACGGTAAAGGTGTTGGACTGCAAGATAACAAAAATAGAGGTTTGAAAGCTAGAATTTACTTTGAATTGTCTGTGAAAGCTTGCTCATTATACACATGGCAAAGGCAGTAAAATATGGGAAAACTTGTCTCTGCTGAGGCCCATCTGTAAGAGAACAAAGAACTTAAATATAACTATAAGTGCATGAATGTTCTGCTGAGATAGCTCTTCAACGTCCCAAGAGGACCCTGGTCATTGTACTGAATCAGGCATATGTTTGGTGGCAGAAACAAAACTTCCGGTAATCTAGTTGGCAACCACCGCAGTAAAAGGATACCCTGGTGCGTTATCAAAGTAGCAGGATTTTGAAGGGCACATGAACGGTGTTACAGCTCATAATGAGAGTTCATTGGTTTCTATTATCCAAGCTTCATTGTGAGACAATCAACTGCTGCTCGTTGTAACCCTTCAATTCTTGTGGGATAATGTGATATGTTAAATCAATAGTGATTTTAAATTGTAAAATCTAGAGCATTCTTTCCTAAGTTTTAGAGCTTTAAAAGTTTTTTAATTCTTTGAAGGTGTGCTTGCATCTGGGGATTGTAAACGTGGTATACACATTTGGCATCCTTCAGAAGGTTCATTGTGGCAAGTTGACCAGCGACCTTTGATGGGTCATACAGATTCAGTGGAGGATTTGCAGTGGTCACCAAATGAATCTAATGTTCTAGCATCATGTTCAGTGGATAAAAGGTAAGTTTGCCTATAAATTCAAGAAACTATATTTATGTAGAGAGTTGTATTTAATAATTATTGTTCTTTATATTTAATTTTGTAAAAGCAAGTAAGAAATTTTAATTTAATTAAAATTATTGGATGTTAAAATCCTGTTAATCCATTAAATAACCAGCTGATTTTCATCTATTTGATATTAAATTTTTGTTGCTTTTTTGATAATGCAATAAAATATCATTAAAAATAATTGTGTAGTGACTGATTCTTGAAGAGATGGGGTTGGAGTGAGGAGTTACATATGTCAAGTTCGCCTACGAACAAGGTTATTCATGAAAAAATTGTTCAGGATGGTTGAGGATAATCTTAGTTCAGTACTTCATCCATTCTGCTCAAAACAAGAAACCTTGTTTAGCTTCATGACTAGTAAAAGTTATTCTCACATTAATGTTCCATTGCAGATGTGAAACTTGCCATGCAATTTGTTTTTAATAATGTTATAATTTGTATATACTTTGATTTAATGAGATTGGTAAATTCCCAGTTAATTTCTTTCAAAATCTCAAGTTTTTGATTATTTACATTATAAAAATCTTAGGTAGTTAATAATTAGAATAAATTAGTAAATGAGGTGAGTATTGTTTTGAAAATACAAGATAATTTGTTTATCAGAAAACATACATTGTTTATATTACCATGATTATTCTGCTGTGTATAATTATACAAGAGTATACTATTATTGTAAAGTTACCCACATCTACGTAAAGCAACATAATTGAAATATTAAAATAGTGATCTGAAGATGATGATGAACATCTCATGTCGTCTGTTTGTAATTGTCACTAATTTACTTTATAATATATATGAACTTTTATTTGGTTTCTCTGATTTACACCTTCAAATGTATAGTGGTTGTAGTGAAGCCATGATAGAAGAGACAGAAATCATTCCATAGACTTCATAGGCAGGAAAATATCACCACCCATTCCATCTGTTGTAAACTCCACTCATTTGTGAGGTTTTAATATAAAAGCACACATTAACAAACTGGAATGTGTTCTCATTTCAATTTATCAAAATCTTAAAGGTATACTTGTCTACGATTCAAATTTATAGGTTGTTTGCTACACAATTGATAATTATCAGGAGTGGATAAGGAAGGAGCTGCTCTTAGAGATATGATTTTTAGTAAGTTATTGCAGATATTATCATTAATGATATTATGATATCGCACATTTTCAAATTTGCTTCTGAAAAAAAATACTGACGTGTATTGATACTTGTGAAGCTTTTACTTTGACCACAGCTGTGTATACATCACTGGCCTCTCCAAAGGGTAAGCAGTGCCCTCCTTGATGAATATGTATATTTCATATATATTTGGTATCTGAAGAATTACTAAATGAATTGTTGTAGCATGAATGTTTCTTAACATCCTGTCATGCAGTCCATCTTCTTTCCTCTCCTCCTGCACAGACTGGTGCCTCTCTGGGTAGGCATATTTGAAGGCCGCCTCGATTGTCAGGAAAGGTCCTGTAATGAGTGTAGAGAAGTAGTAAACTTCGTCCATATTCTGCTTAGTTAGGCAAATGCATGCATGGAAAATTTAAATTTTCAGTCACTTTAGCAGTACGGCATGAGTTTTTAATTGGGAAGTTAACGAATGAAGAATATAAGTATTTTTTGTGAAGTATTTAGTATTTAATTGTATTTTTAAAATTGGTATGTAAATTATTTGTGTGTTACTTGATTACCTTAAAAAAGATTTGTAGTAAAATAATCTGACATAAAGTGAATTAATTTATGATGTACACAATTCACATTCTATACTTAACGATGCAGATAACAAACTAATTTTGAACAATTTTTTAACCTAATCCTATGTGAGTATGGATGGTTGTACATCTTCCTAGTGAAAAAATGCAACAAAAAATAATTATGGAACATAAATGTTCTGAAATTATTTCAGAAGGGGGGTCATTTATATTGTAGACACTCCTTCAATTTTCAAGAAAAAAAATCACATTTTAGCATGTAATTTCATCAGAAGAGTTTTTAAATCAATATCTCAATAGAAAAATACAGGGTCATTGCATATTAAGCCTAGTTGGAATTTGTTTTCACCCTCCTTTTCCTTGTTAAACTGGAATACTGATGTAACAATAAGCTGCAAAGCCAATAAATACTGTGTTTATCTTTAATACCTAATTATTTGCAGACATATTCTTGGCTTTATGGATTTGCTGAACAATTCAGACCAATGTTTTTGATTTGATCTGAGAGAATTGAAAGAGAGAATCTTAAATGAATGTCATTGCAGTAAATGAAACGCAACAAGAAAATAAATGTACTTCATTGCCAAGATATTGTTTTATGAACAACAAAACCACATGGTCTTTCAGTTGGATAGCCAGCTACCAAAAATCCCAAATGTAGACAAAAAAAATTCTGGTGACTGAAGGGAATTCTCTTAGCTGGCACCAGATCGAGGTGCCAGCTAAAGGCTAGTTCAAGGTGCAAAATTTTCAGAGGCCTAAAAACTCTAAGATGACCTAGTATAGGAAGAGGACCAGAAAGAAAGAAAAAAACAATACGTGTGAAGATGACTATAGAGGCAAAAATTGTGGTGGATTTAATTATAAAGAAAATAGCGATATTTCAGGCAAAAATATTTTAAATTCTCATAAATGAGACCATTTCATCACAAATTAGATGATTTGCGATTTTATTTTCACTATGTAATAAAAAGTTAGTTAAAAGATCTTCTCAGAAAGCCTCTTGAAAGTTAGGGGTTCATCTTATATTCAATGTTGTCTCGCATTTGTGTGTATATAGTACTTGGTACTGTGAACTCAATATGTGACAGTTGTTATGTATAAATGTAAAACAAAACAAAACAAAAAACCCTTAAAACAAATTAATTCAGGGGAGCATGACATCTTACCATGTTTCGTCCACTGTTCTTTACTGTTTTGCTTTCCCTGAATTTTAGTTCATAAGTATACATTCATATACTACTAATAAAGTGCTGAGTTGCTGGGCTTGTTGAGATATGTCCTCCAGTTGTTAGCCGAGTGTGAACTTCCTGGCCCAGTGTGCCAGACAACAACACTAATTGTAGGTTATCCTACAAACATAATTTATTTGAACAAAATATTGTTTTTGTCATTTACTGAAGTAATGTATAATTAGAGAAGAATTAAATAAACAAAAATGTTATTTTCTTATCCTTATCTTCTTATTCTTATCGTTCATTCTTATTCAGAACCTACTTTTAGTGTACAGAGTTCAATGTTAAAACTTAAATTTTTTAAAACTTCCTTTACTCTTAAAAGAAAAGGAATTTATGCGTTTTTTGCAACATTTTTGTAAAGATATTGAAGTCAAAATTCCACATCTTACTTAACTCTTTGCTGACAATCTTTATTGTTTCATTAAAATCTGATAATACAGGAATGTAATTTAATGATGCTTCAACAGAACATCTTTTTCATAATAATTGTAACGGTAATGTATTGTTATTATACTAGCTGAACCTGTGCAAAACTTCGGTAGTTTTCAGTGCCATTGCACTGCGGCAAGTGAATGTTTACTTAGGAATTGCCTCATTGATACAACACATGCCTCTGTATTGTCATGCATATAAAATTTACACATGCATAAAAATGTAAGAATTTGGTATGTGTCGTTATACAACCCATTGAGTTATAGTAAGTATATCTGAACATTCAAGTACGTCATATTAGTGTAGAGGAAGTTGGAAAATACTACAAAAGTTTGATCTTTTACGTGTTTTCGTTGTCCCTGATACTGAAGTGGTACTGATTTTTCTTTTCTTCTCCTCCCACTTTTTTAAAAATGTTTCTATCTCTGAACATTAACACCTAAACTGTGCAAGATTTTTTCCCTTTCAGTCGGAGCAATCTCAAAAAATTGGAAATTTAAAATGGCTCTTTTAATTTTTCTTGCGTACTTTACATGAAACTCCTAACGTAATTTCAGATTTTTGTTCAAAAATGGCTTTAATGTTTTCGTTACATTTCTTGATGAAATAGAGAAAAGTGCACAAAGTAATAAGGCCTATATCCAATTTCCATTTTAAAAAACTGTTAAATTCAATTGCGAAAGTTGAACTTTTTTTAAACCTCCTGTATGACTACAATATTGTAGCTCAAGATTTCTATCTTAATGCAATCTATTCTACAATATTAGATTTCTTTAATAATTTTGTGTACACTTCTTGGAAATATAGTTTGTTTTCATGTAATTTTGAGACAAATAATGTAAATTTTCTGCAAAGGTCTAAAAGGTGCTCCAAATGTTTCTTTAAGCCTTTTTGAAAGGGAAGATCTCAAGGCACTGAATTCTATTATATGAAGGCCCAAGTGTTAATTTCCTTCAGATTTCAAAAATTATCTATAAGTATTTTTTTGGATTTGTCATGGAACATTGAACTATTGAACCTCTTCAGTAGTGAAATAGACAAGGATGTTGAACGCAGAAAAATACCCACTCAAGTTCAGATAACCATGACAAATAATGCGAATGTGCTGTAGTGGCATTACTCATTTTTTTAATAAAATTGTCATGCTGAAACACCTGGAAGATGGAAGTATTTCAGGTCTACTGATTAACCAGGAATAGCCCCCCACCCCCCACTCCACCCCTGCCCATCCCTTTTCTTGTGTTGAACAAATGTTGTTAATAAGTGAAGTTAGTTATTGTGGAGTCAATCTTAATTCCCTGATTGGAACTAATGCTAACAAACGCTTCAACTGAACTTGGAAAATGTGTACAGAAGTAGACTTATGGTTATATGCCCAAAGCTGTCTTCTACCGAATTGAAACCTTATTCCTTAAGCACTTCTTCTTTTGTTAAATTGTGTATTGTGTATCTTTGAAAATTGTGCTGCAAGTCAGAGAATTGTTTGAAATGAAATGACAGGTACTACTGTTACTGTTGTGCAAAATGAAATTAATGTAGTATATATACTATAATTATATTGTCTTGTGGAAAACACACCTCTTTTAAAATTATTATTACTGTTGTTGTTTTTAATGATTCCCTCGCACTAATTGAGAAAATTTGTTGTATTTGTTCTTTCTCCTTCTAACTGGATTTGCCAAACAAAATTAATTGTAATTCTTTATTGCAGCATTCGAATTTGGGATATCAGGGCAGCTGCAAACAAAGCAAATAAGCTGACAGTTGAAAATGCTCATGAAATGGATGTAAATGTCATAAGCTGGAATCGTAATGAGCCGTTCATAGTATCTGGAGGAGATGATGGTGTTCTTCGTATATGGGATTTGAGGCAGTTTATGGTAATAATTTTGCGTGACTAAATATTATTGTTCATTATTTCATAAACACATCTTGCAGATTACTTAGTTGTGAAAAAGTTCTTTACAAAATTGAATCAACTGACATGAAATGATATTATCTAAATGCTATGAAATATACTTTCAGTTTTTATCCTAAAATTCAAATTATTTATTTCTAATATTTGTGTAAATAATGTTAACCTCCCAATTTGTTGAATCCTTTTAAAGTTTGCGGAATAATGTAAGTTCTTTCTGGGATGTTCCTTTTCATTTTATCTGATTCTCTATATAATGTTGTTTGTGTTAACCATCTTACACAGTTAAATACTGATGAAGTGAGATTTGTAATAATGGCAACAAAGTGTTAGAACGTGAAGATTAAATTTAAATTGTTTTTACGTATAAAGGTCTCTAATTGAAATTGTCTTTGTTTTTGTAGCAATCATAGTTTTATTTCCGTGTATTTAAACAAAAATTCTCTGTATTAATTGTTTCTGGGTCAGTAGCTGATTGGCTGTGGCCAGTGATACTTGTTGATGGCCTGTGAAGGTAGACGGGTGGATCCAGCTGATCATGGGAGGGGGCTTCGTAGATTTTTGTTAAATAAAGAGAGGCCACTAAACAATATTGTTGTTAAAATATTTGAACAAATAAATATTTTCATTAATTTTGCCAAATAAAAGAAAGTAAACAAAACTCAAGGTATTGGGGTGGGGGGGGCATGGCCCCCATGTCCCCCTCTCGCCCTGGATCCGCCAGTGATGGTAGACATCTTGATGTACACTGCAGCTGTGAATGAAACATTAGGCCCTTCCATGCCAATTGGCCTATCAGCCCAGAAACAATAATTAATATTGATTCTGACCGTGAAAGTTTTTGATGCCATGTAATAATTATATGTTCATTGGAACTCTTTAAAAACTGGGTACAAAGACTGAAATGAATACATTCAATATCTGGGTAGTGACACTGTTGTACTTAGGTAAATTGCATGTGTATCTGAAGATTAATGTTAGGATGTATGGTTTTGTGGACTATGTCAGTTTCGTATCAGTTTGAACATTCTAATGATAAAAACCATTATCGGGAGGGTGTTGATAATAATTTTAATGAGTATTTACTCTGATGCTTTGTACTTTAATCATTCAATTTTTTCAGACTGGTCGTTCAGTAGCAAGTTTTAAACATCACACTCAGCCAGTTACAACTGTTGAATGGCATGCAACAGATCCCACTGTATTTGCTTCTGGAGGAGCTGATAATCAAATTGCCCTGTGGGATATTGCAGTTGAAAGGGATACTGAGAACTGCGCTGATGATGTGGAGGTTTGTTATACAATATAATTCTTATAGAGCTAGAAATATCTTATTAAAACATCCCAAAGAAAAAATGTATCCTTCAAAAGATTTCTTGACGTCTACTATTTAATAAATGATTTGTCTTGTATTATATGTAGGTAAGTCAATAAGTATCTGCAATTTTGCTCTAATTTTCTTTAGGTTGGATCTGTGGGTTAGTAATCTCATCAGCCACTAGGTGGCACTGTTGTCTTTGTCTGTGGTAAGTTTCAGCATTATGACATCAGTCCACCGGGCGCTGTTACGACGTAAAGATGGTCGCACCACTCTGTTTGCACCAAAGAAGAACAGTATTCCGTAATCCATTTTTGGTGGTCTGAAGGAGTTCCAGGGGCGGAAATTCATAGAATACTTACTGCTCAGTATGGGGGCAATGTATTGCTGCAGCAAAGTGTGTAGCAGTAGATTGAACAGTTCAAAAGTAATCGAACGAGCGTGTAAGTATGAGAAAAGAACCGGGCGTCCTGCTGCAGTCATAAATGACGATAATATTGAACAAGAGTGTGCATTGTTACTCAATAACAGACAAGTTACTGTTGATGAAGTGGCAAACCGTATGACATTAGCCACAATTCTGCTTATGAAATCATGCACAACAGGCTGAACTTTAATAAAGTCTGTGCGAGATGTGTTACGAAATAACTCGATGAAGAGCACATGCGCAATCGTGTGAAAATCTGTTGGCACCTATTCGATCATCATGGTAACGAAGGTGAAATGTTTCTGAAACGAATCACTGGAGATGAAACATGGGTTCATCCCTTCGAACCAGAGAGTAAATGGGAGAGCATTGAATGGAAGCATCCAGAATCTCTAGTCAAAAAGAAATTCAAGAGTCAACCTTCTGCAGGTAAAGTGATGCTCACAGTTTTTTGGGACTTCAAGGTCCAATTCTGGAACATTACCAGAAAAGGGGTCAACAGTAAACTGTGAACGTCACAGTGAAATGCTGTTGAACAAGTTAAAGCCTGCAATTCGCCAAAGCCGAGGTCAATAGTAGATTGTCGGAAGGAGTTCTCTTCTTGCATGACAATACGTGTCCACATACCGCCGCCCACTCCGTTCAAACTCTTCAGAAGAAGGTTTTTCGAGGTGTTGGAGCATCCCGCGTACAGCCCCGATCTCGCCCCATGAGATTACCATCTGTTTTTTCCACTTCAAGATACTCTACGAGTTTGTTGATTCTGCTCCAATCAACAGGTAAAGGAAGCGGTGCATACGTGGCTTGCTGCGCAACCAAAAAAATTTTTTCCAAAGGAATTAGAAATATTTTTCACCGATGGATAAAGTGCATTGAATAGCAGGGTGACTATGGTGAAAAATTATATAAACAAAAATTGTGTGCTTTTGTTGTAATAAATTATAAAAATTGATTGCAGATACTTATTGACTTACCCTCGTATTTAAAATTATTACATTTATATTATGTATTTTCTAATTACAGAACTTGCCATCCCAATTGCTCTTTATTCATCAAGGACAGACTGATATAAAAGAGTTACATTGGCATCCACAGTTTCCTGGTGTTGTCATAAGTACAGCTCTTGATGGGTTTAATATTTTCAAAACAATTAGTGTATAATTAAGTGTTTTGTAAGTAAGTCATAAAAATTGATTCAAATAGTAATCATATATTTTAATTATGTGATAATTTCTTCCAATAAAATTTATGTAAAAATAATATTTTTCTGTTATGTTATTCCACTAAATCAGAATTTACAAATTTTGTAATTTTAAGCCAAAGGTGTACAATGTTTCATATGTGAAGGCTGTAGAGAGAAGTTTTCAAAATATGTATTGATATTGTTTGTACATAATTGATGTGTTTGTGGTTAAAATTGGATGTTATTGTCAGCATTCATTTTGGGCCTACAGATCAATTCCCATTTAGGATTATAAGGAAGTTTCTATTTCATGAATCTGTTTATTTATGTACGTTTTCAACAAGCTGAATGACAAATATGCCCATTATAAAAAAAACAAAAATTTTCTTGCAAAGCATTCAGTTCATTTTCGTTGTTCTTCCATCATTTCCAATCTTCTCATCTATCCTTTTATTTATAACTTCCTTCATTCTGTCTCCTTATTTTGTTTATTGTATCTTCTTTTTCCCTAGCATTAATTTCTTCTATTAAATTGTCTGGAAGCTTTAATACCGAAATATGAGTTTTAAAGGGCTCCTCAGAATTTTCTTCCCTTTTACCAGATACCACCTTGCAAAAGGTGAGGTAGAAGATTTTATTTTGTTTATATTGTTATTTTTAAGAGATCCTTGTTTTCCACCTCGAAATACTCCCAAGACAAATTTTGGTACCCCAAAGAAAACAAAAAAATTAATGATTGACCTTTAGTGCCAAAAATAGTTATATACAATTTTAAAGGTCATAAAATTATGTACGTCTCGTCACCAGTGTTGTCAACATCACGGACACCTTCAAACCTTGTCCCTTGAAGATGATTCCACAGTTATCGGTGCTCTTCAAATATCGAAATATTTGTTTCATTTTGTTCCAATCTTGATTTGTACGATTTTCCATGACCTGAGCTGCTTTGTTAACTGCGAGAGCATCAGGACGTGTAGCTGTAATCGAGTATATTAAAGAACCCACTGCCTCACGATAAGGAACATTGGCTGTGACCTATTCACCTTCATAGTTGTCCTTTCGCCCAATTGAAGTAATCACTCCGACTCGGCCATTCCAAAACTTTTCGTGTGTAGTCAATTGTTATTGGCTCATCTTCATTTTACTGTACTCTCATGCCCAAGAAATTTCTGAAAGATCCTCTAGTATGAAATTCCTGTTGTAACATTCCCATGAATCCCTCGAGTTCTAGTATTTCAATTGCATTAACCACACCGTCATCCACAAAAACTACATGTTTCCCATTTCTTGCGGTAGAACAGACATGGAACAGCACTACTGTTATTGAATTCAGCTTTCTTAATAAACTTCCAGCAGCGCGGCACTTGTTTCAGGCCCTGCTAACTTTTCTTCTCGTAACACACTCACTCAGTATTGTTCTCAAAACCCTCCGGTTGTTCCATATACACGTCTTCAAGCACGTCGGTAAAAAAAAACCGGTTTTAACAGCAAATTGAGAGCTTCATTCCAAATACAGCAACCATCACCAACAAGATCCGAATGGTTTCATATCGCACAACAAGGGTAATTGCCTCTTCGTAATCAATTCCCTGCCTTTGTACGAAACCTTTTGCAACCAATCGAGCCTTAAAACGAATGTTTCTCTGTCCAATAGTTTCTGTCAGAATACCCAGCGATTCTTCAAGATTTGTACATCTTTTTGGACGTTTAACCAACACCCAGGTATAATTTTTCTCTAAAGACTCCAGTTTTTCTTTAAATGCTTTCAACCACTCTTCTCCGTCAGGAAACTGCAACACTTCAGTGTAGGAATTGTTGTTTTCAGTGATGGATGACCTGGCCATCTAGACAAAATCTCTGCTGGTCATCCACAATGGTTTCTTCTATTTACGTTTGCCTTTTCTTGTCTCTTTGGCATCTTCTTCAGCTGGAACACCACTTCCTCTACATCTGGGCACTGGTGCAACTTCATCTTCAGTCCATTCTTCCTTTTCATCGTTGACTTTTGGCTTTTGTACATCGGATGATGCGAGTTTTTCCACATGAATCTTCAGTCTTGACGGTATTGATGCGCACATTGCAGGCAACTTCAGTCTTCAATTTCACGTGGCTCAGGACTATCTTCCGTTGAGTCGGAATCCAGATCCTGAATCCATCCCTGTCGTTCACGTGTCCAACCAAATGTCCATTTATCGTTTAACTTTGAGCGGAAATCCTTGTTGATGTGCATGCATCATTATGTTCCGAAAATCTTCAAATAATTGAGACTTCATAATGGTCGTCCATTCCATAATGAGACTTAGTTTCAATGGAAGACTTTCCAGCGCAATTCAGGAGGTATGTGGCAGTATTGCTTGCTTCTTCCCACAGTACTTTTGGCAACGTGCTTGGATTCCACATGGAACGCGAGCATTCGACAATGGTTCTCCATCACACCTAGTTGCTTGATAACATGTCCATTCGTCTTGGCTTCATTCAAAGACTCCTCAAAAATTGTGAAAATTCACTTTTCTGCATCAAAAAGAAAACTCGACGATACTTGCTAAAATCATCTTTAAAACACACATTGTAGCGCGCAGAGATTGTCGATATGATTTCGTTTACATCGGTGTGGATTTGTTCACCAGTTACCATCGGTCGATTCAACCGTTTCGTAGCAACCTATGCGTCTTTCGCAATGCGCGTCCATCGCAGAATTCTTCCTTCCCCGCGACCACGCTGATGTTCATTTGCTTCAGAACACTCTTCGCATGTTGATAGCCAAATCTTTCATGGTAAATATGTAATGTCTGTGATGTCACCATATTCACTTGAACTTGTTGCGTCTGCTTCACAATGCGCATGTTCAATACATACCATGGCTAACTTATCCTGTCATCATCCTTTGACACGATCTTTAATGCTGACACTTGATCATCAAGTCTCTTGGAAGAACCTTTTCTCACAGCTGCATTCACGGAAAATCAATAGGCACTGTCTAGACACACATGGGTGATATTTGCGGTTAGTGAAGGTGCTTTTGACAGCATGGTGGCCTTTCCTTTGGAGGGAACTGGTTAGCTACTGCGATATGCCTTCTGCGCTTCTATAAAGAAAAGCTTCTTTACTGTTAATATGCAAAGCAAAAATGCAGACAGTAACGCCATCTGTGTACGTTTCTTAGAGCTTTTTGAACTAAAAAAGGTTGGGTTGATTTGCCGAGTAAGTACGTGTTCGGGCATGTATTGTTATGGACATTTATGAATACTTTTACTTTGTATATTCAAGATGAGGAATAAAATAAAATTTCTACAAAGACGTTAATAGGTTATGGACCCACATCATATTTTCTAGAGCGGATCCGAAATTAAACGGCAGCCGAAGAAAACCTGACTTTTTGGCTAAACTGGAACTTTGTGTGTAAACAAACATGGCTGCCGGGAGTGACAAAATACAGGAGGATAAGCTTGAAGGATCTGAAGATTGGTGGAAGTGGCATATATCGATGGTGTTGCGTGCGAATGAACTTAACATCGTTAACGGTAAATTGTAATCGAGCGTGTCCGTTTTTAGGGTAGTATGCAACTGCAGCACGAAAAGGAATTCTTCAGCAATGGAAAAAGGACGACGCAAAAGCGATTAATTTGTTAGTTAGTGCACTAGGAAAAACTATTGCGACGCTCGTGTAGAAGAAATTTGGACGAAATTGTGTGCGCTGTTCCAACGCAGCAGTACGCAAGGCTGAATATGCTGATCAAATCATGTTTCCGCGTGACATCAGTATGCATGTTGCGAAACTGCAGAACTTCGTAGATATTTAAATGATGAATTTACGCAGAATGAAGAAAATACTTAGTCCGAGACAATTTTGAATGGCCGTATCTTATCATGCTTGGAAAAGAATATGACAGTTTTAAACACTTGTGGCGCGCGATTTCGTCGGTAAATCAAACTGTAAATTTGTTGATTGAAAAATTATGAGCGGTTGTTTTTAAATTTGTTTCGTCTTCAATTGACGCAACGCATCTCCAAGCCTCGGGAGGCGTTGAGCACTATTGGAGTAATCCATTAACAGTATATCCGTCACGTCGCAGTCAGTTTTCAAGAGAACCGCCAAGTAGCATTTCCGCATACGCGCCCCTGCGTCACTACTCAGCGGCCAGTATTGGGGTAGGGTTTACGACACTTCACAGCGGTTCGACCAGCCTCTGTGAAGCATGCAAACTCGTTTTGTCGTAACATTGCGCATGAGGTTCTACGGGAATCGACCTCGGAACTTCAGTGGTGAAAGGCAAGCGACTTCGCCACTGAGAGCATTGAATTGAGTGATCAAGGAAATGTCGAATCGACTGCGTTTGGGGAAAAATCAAAGAATATTCAATGTGCAAAACAAGTTTCCATGCCACAAATGTAAGCAGTTGGGACATTGGGCAGCAGAGTGTCCGGAGAAGAAGACAGATGGCACTGCTGGAAACAAAAGACAGTCTGATGCAAGTGTGGAGTTTATGACGCATGTCATGTCATGTATGCCTCAATCGATAACTTTATTGAAGCTGACAAGCGGTATTGCGAGAGTGGCGCCACACATCACCTTGAATAAACAGTATTTTACATGGTATGAGAAGTCTGCCATTATTGAAAAGATTTAGCTCGGGGAATGAGGTGTAACTATGCAGGCTCATAGACAAGGAAGTGTGAACATTCAAGTACGTCTGAATAATACTTGGTCAAATGACGTACTGGAATGGATCGAAGTGTCAGCATTGAAGATCGTTTCAAAGGATGATGACAGGATAAGTTAGTCATCGTATATATTGAACATTCACATTGTATTCTTCCTCCTAACTCTTATGCATTTCTTTGGTGCATTTACCTCGCACTCTCCGTCGTGTGATTCGGCACACTTTGCGCATTATCTCTCATCTTTGCCTACGGCCTTTCGGTGTTCAAAGCGAAGACACTTGAGACATCTCATGGCAGCTTCGTACGTATCACATCTAAAAGATATAAGTCTCCATATATCTGTTTAGTTCTTTGGCACCCAGATTCGGAATGACTTACTTTCTGGATCCTTACTCATCTTGAAGAGGATCTTAATTTCATCGAAATACTACTCGATGGGAGCCCGTATTATTTCTCTTAATGCATTGAAGCCATTCATTTTCATTTGCGCCTCTCTATTTCTCATCTATCTCGTTTGACGGCTTGCATAAGTTCTTCGACCGTTCTCTCGTCACCCATTTCAATGACAAGCAATCCAGTTCTTTGCATATATCTAGTTTGGTTGACCTTGGGAGTTTTCCTAGTCATTATCTTGGTTATTTCTTCCATTCTTGCTTTTTGGTTATCGCCTTCGGCTTTCATCGGCAGAACCATGTGTTTTTTTACAGTATCTCTCTCTTTTCAGGTACCCATTTAAAGGTTTTAACAAAATCACCTCGAGGTGGGTCTGTTCATGTCCAGACGTAGGGATGCGGGGTGGGCTCTCAAGTTTTCCTTTCTCTCACCAATTATCTTGATTTTCCCCATCGTTCATTCTTGTTCTTTTATAACATCCTGTCTCTTTCTCCTACCTCTTTTATTTCACTGCCCCTGTTTGCAGAACGCACACCCATGTTTCCCGTGCATGACAACGCGTGTCGGAGGGAAAGTGTGTCGTTGCTATTGAAGGACCTGTTTGTTTCCAAACTACTCCTTGTGCTTGTTTCTGCTTTGCACCTAGGGATACGTTGTTTACGTATTTTGGGAACATTCCTTGTAGGTTTCCAACTCTTGCTTTGACCTCGGACACTTCTAGATGGGAAGTCGGAAGCTAACCCATTTCCGATCAATCGGCTCCGGCTAAGTCTTATGCTGAACCCCAGGATGAGCGGGGTGATCCACGGCGGGTCAGCGCTGTGACATCTTCCCACTGTATCTTCGTGTCAACCCTGGCACTCCAGTGGGGTGCCCCCTTGCTGGGCTCCGTGTAGGGTGGGGAGCACGGAGACGAATCCGCATCGATTCTATGGAGCAAAAAACAAACCCCTTGACCTCTTCCGGAAGGAAGAGGCGATGTTTTGAGAAAATGGTGGATTTGAGTAGTTTCTTCCTTAGGGAAGAAGATAAACCAAAGAAGACACGTTTTCTTTTGATGGCGTGACCGTAAGAAGGAAAAATATTTAAAAGTATTAGTGCGGTTCGTCTCGCGCGAGCTATTGGGATCAGTTTCGGTTAACTTCAGGCAGTGATGCGTCAGAGGAATGCCACCATTCTCTTCGAAGCACGCACCGATGAACAAATCTAAAAATTCTCGAAAACAAAGCACATTGCCGACCTCCAGGTGGAAGTGACCACTCACCCTACCCTTAACCTCTGAAAGGGGATGGTGAATCACGATGACTTTCTGTCCGAATGTGAGGAGGACAGAAGAGGAACTTCTCTCTTCAAGTCAGGTCGTAACGGAGGTGATTAGGATCGAGAGGAAGGAGAATGGGACAGATCCCTACTCCCACTTTGATCCTGACGTTTAATCTCCCCTCTCTCCCGGAGAGGATTAGTTGTGTTTTTATAATCTCCACGTGCGGCAGTATGTGCCAAAGAAAAAGGGGGGAGAAAGCCAAAGAAATAGGGAAAGAAAAAATCAAGTTAAAAATTTTAAAAATTGGTTGTTCATCACATATTTTACTGTTAAATAGTATAACCTTACTCAGATCTACGCACTGTTTAGTTTTCCTTTATAGGCGAATTCCCATATGTCATATAAGAATTGAAGTAGAAATGTCAGACAAAACTCGCTCACTGACCGACTCAAGCGAGGAACTCCTTCGCCTCCTCAGAAGCGAACGAGAAAATTCTTTCAAGTGTGTGGAGGTCGATAAGTGTTCCTTGTTTCGATTTTCCACATTTCTCTCAACGCATTCTTCGGTGTAGTCTGTTGCGGGCCTTACATGGCCCTGCGCAGGTATCTCTGCCGTAACTTCTTCCTTCAGAGCCCAAATCGCATACTGAACCACAGCGTCCCGAGAACACAATCTCGAGCGACTTTTGCTATTTATCGCCTAGGGTGTCGTTGGCAGCACACGAGCTGTCAACAAGACATCTCCTTTGTAGAGCCATGCCAACCCTGTCGATATCGATAGAAAGGTTGCGAGAAGGTTGATAGTCGAAGAAGAGCGTGTGACTATATTTGTCATTTCTTGATTTATTTTTACGGATTGCGGCATTTTCCTATCACGAAAAATGAAAGAAAATATAATTAAAATATTCCCACTTCAAACAAAACTATCTGATTTTCTATATCAAAATTTTCCATATGAAGTTCCTTAATTTCCCCGTATTCCAGACAGAGACAATCCTGTAAATAAATCGGGTTTATGTTGAACTATTTATAGGGTTGTCAAATGGTTCTGTCTCTTCACGAAATGTCATGTATTAATTCCCCAAATTGTCAGCTTAAAAAGAAGGAAAATTAGGAGCTGATCATATTTACATAAATAAGTTGTTTTTGCCAGGACCCTCCCCCCGTGGACAAGCCAATATCAGAAAGACATGATGAATATATCGACATTTTTAGTAGAAGTTAATTAGCTGAACCATCGGAAATAGTGTTTAGAATAGGTACATTATCATGGTCCCTTCTTTCTGATCTATGAACTAGAATTATGCGAATTTCATTTTGGTAAACTAATCACAAATTTTAAGCATAATTCGAAGAGGAATTGTGCACGATAAGGTATTTTTTATGATGGAGTGTTTCTGGGACAGAGCACAAGGCAGTGTAAAACCATTCTCAATAGGTTCTGAAACATTCCGCTGAACACTTAAATCAAACTACAGAATGACATGCGATGCATCCTTCACAGCTCAGTTTTCACAGCAGACCTCAAACTGCTGGCTGCTGTTTCCCCACTGCACCACTGTTTCTGCGATGCACTCTTCACAGATCAACTTCCACTGCAGACTTCAGACTGCTGACTGCTATTCACCGCAATGCACATATTACAGCACAGCTTCCACTTCAGACACACTGACGGACTGACTGCTTATTCACTGATTACATACACTA